GCGAGATAGTAGCTGTCGGCGAGACCTGCATACTGGGTGTCCATCTTCTGCAGGCTGATGGCGATGACCATGCGCAGACAGTAGTTCTGGTAAGGATCCGTGGAGCCGTTGTAGACCTCATCAACATCTTTGGTGAAGGTTGGTTCGTGGAAGATGGGGTACATGGGGTGCACTAGTCAAGTCAGTTGATGTCGGAGTTGCAAGGAGACAGCCTTACGCGCCTTTGCAGTAGAAGAGCTCTACCAGTAGGTTGGTGAGGTCTCTGTTGGGCAGTTCTTCAGCCGCGACGTCGCTGACCATTGGGTAGATCTTGGAGGTGGGTCGCTGATCTTCCTGGGCGAAGGTATCCTTGATGTTCTTCGCCTCGGCATGTGGCACGATCTCAGAGATGCTCTTTGACTCGGTGAACTGCTTCGCCAGCTGCATCACCAGCCGGGTGATGGTGATACCGCTGGACGGCCCTAGGAATTTGGACTCGTCGGAGTCTTGGACACGCACCGTGGCTGCCCCACGCATCACATCTTCAGGGTCCGGCTCCACGTCGTCCCGTTCGAGATCAGCCAGCTGCTTCTCCAGGTCGCGCACCTTCTGCTGCAGGTGCACGACATAGTTCCGGGGTATTTTGCGTCCCTTGGTGGGGTCATAGTATTCGCAGTGGGAATTGGTGCGCTCGCATGGCCCGCATCGAGGGAGTCCGGGGTCGCATCTCGTCTTGCGCTGGGCTCTGGTCAGTGGACATTACGTAGCCAGCCGTGCCCGGGATAATGCTTACCGTCCGACAACGACAGCAAGCTGTCAGAGTGTGGGCGATGCGACTCTGGCCGGTGGTGGTGGTGCCTTCCTCAGACGGGTGCGGGGCCCCTTCCGTCTTGGTGTGTGTCGCAGTCGCGACTTCCATCGCTCGTCTCTCACCACGGGCGGAGGAGGGCGAGGGAGCTGGCTTATGATGCGCCTGGGATGTGGGGGAGATCGACGCGCACGTCCATGCCCGGGAGGTTTGTCGCGCCGGCAAGGTCTGGTCCTGCGCCCTCAGTCCGTGAGGCCGTCGAGATGGCGATGTGGGAGCGAGTTCCTGAATACGGTAGCGGTGCCTGGGTAGAGGAGCAGCCGAGCAGTACCACCGGAGTGTCGTCCGGTGGGTGTATCTTTAACCAGGAAGAAGGAACAAGGCGCGACGTCGACTGGGCCACAAAAAACGCCTGCGCATTACCGAGCGTCCCCAATCAGACGGCGCCAAAAGGAAGTCGAAGCATGACACGCCCCCGTCGCTGGTGCGGCGCAGGCTGATGGTGACAGGCCCGGCCTCTGTCCAAACTCTGGGAGCCGAAGAAAGACGTGCAGCGTGGGCATCCAGCGCGACCGGGCCCTTGATAGGCTGCCTCCTGGAATTGGGCCTCGAACGCTCGGCCAAGCATACGTCTATCCTCATCCCGTCGCTCGCAACCGCGTCACACCCGTCCCTTTCAGCATCGCTTTCTCCCTGGCCGACTCAGCGGGGCAACACCGCCGTCCGCCGCTTCTCCATTCGGCCACAGAGCCGCGGCATTACGAAGTCCAGGGTACCGCGAGCCCGCTACGCCACCCGTCAACCCGCTGTTCAACACCACGAGAGCGCCAAACCATCAAATACATCGCGTGCTGCACCGCCTTTTTGGCAAGGCTGTCCGCGGACCTGATTCTCTGCATCGTCGCGCTAGACCCCCAACGTGCATTGCACCGAGCTGGTAAGTGCCGTCCCGTCTGTATCGATCGTCAGGCAAAGGGCTTTCCATCTCCGTACCGCCTTTGAACATGTAGTCTACATCGATGTTCATACTTCGTGCCTAGTGCCATTTCATTTGACTCCGCTTTCCTTTTTTATGCCAGTCCTCTTCTGAACCCTTCCGCACTGTAATCCGCCCAGCGTCAGGTGACCACGCGATGCATACTTACTTGTCCTAAGATAGAAGGAACATGGTGCTGGAAACGCCGCTGCTCCGGGTGAGCCGACCCGTGGCTGCTTGTTCGCGATGTCGAGCCGCAAAGGTCAAGTGCGATGGAAAGCTGCCCGCATGCACCGCCTGTGAAAAGTCTAATCGGGCCTCTGAGTGCTCGAGCACGAACGATCAGTTTGCGCGCGGAAAAGAACGGAGCTATGTTGCTACATTGGAATCCAGAGTCGAGAAGCTCGAGAAGAAGATCCAGGAAGCACGGGCGAGGCGGAAGTCTTCAGGCGTTCTAATGCTAGACATGTCTGAAAACTCGACCCCGCGTAGAGCCTCTGTCGATACCGTAAAAGCAACTAGACCCATCAGCAAAAGAGCTGCACGACGGAAGGAAGCATCAGAGATTGATGACCTGGTGTCAGATTTCGGTCTTCTGTGAGTGCAATACGTCCACTTTGATGTACTACACTAACTCTCCAAGTGCTGTGAATGCCACTGCGAGAGACTTCTATGGCTTCACAACAGAAATGTCTTATGCCCGCCTAATCCGATCGGCGAGCGCAAAAGAGCCACTACCCGCAGACCTGATCAAAGCACTACCTCCAAAGTATGCAGCAACGCCACTGATTCAGCACTACTTAAACAACATCTTTACTCTTTGGCCAGTCTTTGAGGAGGCTACCCTCTACTCCTCTGTGGATGCCGTCTACCAGCAAGGTGACAATGCAAAACCTTGGGATCGGTGGAGCGTGCGCATGGTGTTGGCCATCGCATGTCTCTCCCAGTCCGAGTCGAGAGGTGACACCCACTACTCTGATGCCGTCGGACACATGAATGCTGCGCTAGAAAACGCTGAAGACGTGTTACATCCAGGCTACGTTTCTAGCATTCAAGCTTTGATACTCTGGACCATCTATGCTACTATGGACCCGCATCACTTCGATAGCTGGACACTCGTGGGCGCAGCTTCCAGAGCCATGGTCGATCTCGGTATACATCAAGACCCTTCTAAGAATGTTGCAATGTCAAGAGCAAAGCTAGAGATCAGGAGAAGAGTGTACTGGTGCGTATACTCGCTAGATAGGTAAGGCCGTGTCCCATGTTTTCTCCCTCTGCTTGCTAATCATATGGTAGATCAACATCGCTCGTCCAGACTCGCGCCTTTTCGTTCTCAGACGAGGCTGCACACGTCGGCTTTCCATTTTACAACGCCTCAGTATCACCAAAGTTTGCCTCGCCTACATCCCAAGTCTTCCAACAGTCTTTTGACACTGCGGTTGATCTCTTCAGGATACGAGAGATCCAGTCTGAGTGGTACATGGATCTCTTCCAATCTGGTCGCGAGCCTTGGCAAGAACCCTACCAATATATCTGGAAGCAATATAACAGGATGTCAGAGTGGTTCCAAGATATGCCACAGAGCACTTTACCCGCCGTAAAGTCCTTCTTCGAGCTCGAGCTTCTTTACAGCTATGTTTACATTCTCTCACCAAGCCCGCGGATACCCCACATCCACGAGTATGCGCAACGGCTGATCTTTGAACATTGCATCGCATATGCTACAAACCTCTTGGCCGTATTGGATAAGCCGTCTCACACAGTCAAACCTCCGGTCACCTTCTATGACGCCATGCGTGCGTATATGACAGGCCGACAGTTTGTCGATGTTCTGTCGCGCAACATGGAAATGATTCTTGACCCAAGAACACCAGTGCCTCCAACACCACTGGCCCCTCAAACGGAATCAGAAGATCCGCTTGCACCGCCCGCGCAAATCAGCGCACCGCCTTTTCCGTCGCCGCTGCTTCCAGAGGGGCAGACTTCGCCGTTGGATCCTACAACTCGGGCGATTAACGCTATCCACGACTACACATCAGTACTTTCTAAGTTCGGGTTGAGATTCGGCTTCACTCACTGGCGCGATCGCTTCCAACGAGAGTCAGCTGCTCTCTCCGCTCAGCTCTATCAACGTCAGCAGACGTCACCACACACTTCACCTCCTGTACAGCAACTCCCGCCACCCGTTGATTATCCTCCGCAATGGCTACCGATGCCGTCTGTGTCGCCACAAGCGCCGAATTTGATGTATCCTGGCGGCCCAACAACACCTCCCAGTCTGTTCCCGCAATCAAGTCCTTTCGCTAGCTCGATGTCTTACACTGGCACTTCGTACGACGGATCTGGTCATAGCCCCCAACCGCACGGTATGACGTTCGATGCGAGCCCAGGTCAGCAAACGTGGGCTACTCCCTCGCCTCAGCCGGTACCCGAGTTGCCACAACCTTCCGGCGGACAGAAGAGAAGGGCGATGGTGTATGGTCCGGGCTTACCGGCGCCACATCAGGGGCAAGGTCATAGTCCTGGTGCGTCGTCGATATCAGGGCAGGAGAGCAATGGATGGGCGCAACAGGAGCATCAGCAACAGCAGCAGCAACAAGATCCAAACAGTTACTTCCAAGTACCGTCTCTACAGCAGCAGCATAGCAATTCGTGGACGCAAGATCCGTCGCAAGGGAACTGGGGGTGAAATCGTAAATGTTATACAGCTCTATATAGTGCTTGATGCTTCGCAAGCTACATAAAGCAACGCCTAATCATCCCAGCTGTTGTATTCCCGATCTTCCACTGGCGCGTCGCCATCTTCATCGATCACCATGGTTGTGTCTTTCATAGTCGTAGCGCATAAGATGCTCTTTGTTTGTGATCGAATAGTATGTATGGCGTACAACTTCCTTGACGTCTCCACTTGGTGGATCTGCTGCCAAGGGGTAAATTGGAACTTCGTTGCTCGATGATGTGTGATCATGTGTTGCCTGAACTCGGCCCCTTTGCGGAAGATGTCTTGGGTGCATGTCCGTAGTTGAGTCCCGACAGCTCTGAGGACCACAATGGCACGTCAGTCTTCTGTAGCCGTGCAGCGATGTGGTGAGATGGTTCATGACGCTGAAATCGAAGACCAAGTGCGGATACGATGTCTGCCTCCAAACGCGCCTTCTGCCCCGGCTATGATTGAACGTCAGCTTCTCGCTGAGATGACATGCTCTGGAATATCGTAAACGTACACTCCTACACAACTCATGCTGTGAAATCGCTCTTGGGTGAGTCGTTTGGATCGGTTGTACTAGTTGGTACTTCGACATCAGGGTATCGAGTCAGGATAAGGTCCATGATCTCTTTCGCGTCCGGTTTCTGAACACTTTGGTAATGTCGCTCGGAGGACACCCGCAAATCGCCTTCGTGAGTTCCGTCAGACTTAGGCTCCCGTCGTTCCAGGATGGCTATGACAGCTTTGACGACGGCGGGCGGTGGTCGTACTCCTGACGCAGACTGTACGGAGTACTTTATTAGATCCAAATCCAGCGGATCCAGAAAGCTTTCCATCACGTTTGCCGTGATCTTGGTACAAGGCCCGTGCTGTGTCAAAAGCTCAAAGTTTTTGAGATTGCCAGCCTTCTTAACCATATCCAGTGTGATCTCGAGATGTGGCGCCCTTGCGAGAAGCAGTCGGAGTGTGTCTGAATCGTGATAGCCAATGCCAGCAAGTAACAATCGAATAGTCTCGGTTGTAGGCTGTAGATGCGTATTGTCTGCTAGTGCCCGCTTGCAGGCTTGGATGACAGATATCGAGGACACTAACCGGTTCAAATCGTTCTCGGTGACGTTCAACTTCTGCTCAGTCTTGAGAAGAGAGTCTATCAATCGCTCAGAAGAAAAGTAGTTGTCCTCTTGCGATAAGATTGAAGTGAGTGGAGTTTCTCCCTTGCTTCCCTGTGAGTTGAGATCAGCACCGTGATCCAGTAGTAGCTGTATTATTGCACCGTCTCCGTTGCCGGTGCAAGCGACATGAAGCGGTGTTCCATGGTTTGATGAGAACATGTTGACATTGGCGCCGTGTTGAAGGAGTATCCTGACTAAGCCGGAGTCATGGGATTTACATGCTACATGCAAGGCTGATCCCAGATCAGGTGAAACGACGTCAATGTCGGCACCGTACTTCAGGAGTAATTTGAGCAATTGTTCGTCTCTTCCTTCGCATGCAATGTCCACAGGTGTCCCCTTGCCAGGTATCGACACATTAACTTCAGCGCCATGTTGGAGAAGACATTCAGTCATTTCGAGATTCCCGTTTTGACAGGCCTTATGTAGCGCGGTCCCAGGGCTGGGAGTTACATGATTTGCGAAAGCCTGTAGCCTCTTGTGTTGCGTCTTGTATGTAGGGTAGAGGGGGGTTCCAAGGTCACTAGCTGCCGTGTTCACGTCGATGTGACGCTGTAGCAGTAACGTAACTACCTCCAAACTACCACCTTCGATTCCAGCGATCAACGCAGACCCGAATGAGTCATGATGCTGGTTGATGTCAACACCGAGCTCAAGACAGACTTGAACAACTTGTAGCATTCCCAGGTAAGAAGCTAGGTGTAGGGTGCCAGCTGATGCGCAGACATGGCTGTCGTCAATCTGCGCAAGCTTCATTATAGCCTCACTGGCAGCAATTCGAGCATTGTTGCATGCACATTCCTTGTCTGGCTGCCCTGGATACGTCCACGCGTGTCGGAAAGAATCTGTGGCCCAAGCCTCGCAGCACAGGCTCCTGGGGAACCTCTCCGTCTTCGATTTTATAGGCATGAGGCCTTCAAGCAGGGCGTAGACTGGAGACTGATATTCTGATGGGAAGGGTTGCGGGATGACTACCATCGGCAAGAGCCTGAAAAGAACGTTGAAGCTCTGGAAGTAGGCTGCTGCCTGAAGCACCGCAGGCTTCACATCAGCTGCATCGGTCGAGCTTTCCAGCAAAAGCTCAATACTTTGTTGAGCACCTAGAGCTGCAAGGTCTGCAAGCAGTCCCTCAGAGATCTGCATGGTATCGACACGGAGAACAAATCTGGCGTCCTCTTGCCAAGCGCGCGTATAAGCAGGCACCTCTTTACAAGCATGAATGAAGTCGCCTGTACCCAGCAGACGAGCAATAACAAAGTCGATGAGATCCTTTGGTTTCTCTCCTACGACAAGTGTCCTTAAGATGTTGACGGCTCGCTCAGCATCGTATAAGGTGGCTCCCGCGGCCAGTAGGATTTTCATTGTTTCGAGATTTCCAGCAGTGGCAGCCGTTGTCAGTGGAGATGAATACTGACCAGACTTCTCTTCGACGTCTACCCCATACTCGACTAATAGTGCGGCGATGTTTGCGTGGCCATACTTACAAGCTTCGTGTAACGCTCTCGAGATGTCCACAAACTGAGTATGCCGCGTCTCTGTCTGGCCGGGCTTCAGAGCGTTTTGTTCCGAGTGGGAGAGCAAGAGCTTTGCTAGATCGATATTACCGTTACAGCAGGCATGAGTCAGCATCGAGGGAGCTCCTCTGTATTCCACCGATACTTGATCAGTGGAGAAGTTGTACGATTGCAGAACACCCAAGTCTAGAAAAAACTGCACGACCGCTAGGTGTTGGCCTTCTACTGCCGCGCGTAGTGGGGTCCAGTGGGATATGCCTGCGGTCAGAGCAATCTCGGTGCCAGCTTCCACAAGCAGTTTGACGCATTCCAGATGACCGAATCGAGCGGCAGCATGCAGTGCAGTTCCATAGTGGTGAGCCACAGCCTTGACATCAACATTACGCTCTACAAGTAATTGTACGAGCTCCATATCGCCGTCCGCTGACGCCATTTGGAGTAGGAGAGTAAATCCAGTCGCAGTGGCCTGTAGGTCGGGTTGTGACTGCAAAAGGTATCGTATGACCGCTCCTGGACCAGTAGTCAACACTTGGTGAACAGATTCAGACTCGATGAAACCCTCCCTGAACGTTGAAAGCGCAGCGTCCAAAAGCAGAGTTGGAGAAGTGCGGGGCGCTGATCGGCTGGTTACATGTGCCTCAGCTTCAGTCAGAACCTCGAAAACAGCGAGTGAGTCGAGTTCTCTGTATCCAGCGTAGAATAGAGGCGTTCTGTTGTCCTTGTCGAGTATATCAATCGCTGCACCACTCTCCAATACCATTCGGACCGTTTCCACAGGACAACATACCACCGCGGAATGTAAAGCACTTCGTCCACGACTGTCGATGGCATTGACGTTTGCGTTCTCGCGCAACAGTAACTCGACCACGGCTTGTTTTTTGCTAAGAAAGTTTCGTTTCTCGTCGTAAAACTTGTCGATTCCGTTTTGCCTGCTTTTATAGATCCGATCACGTTGCGGCGTGGCTTGAAGACAGGCCTGTAATGCTGTTCTCGACCAGACTTCATTCCGTGCGTTGACATCAACTCCGCGTTCGATGAGATACGAAACCACCGCAGGATGCCCGTTTGCACATGCTCGGTCCAGGGCCTGCGACATCAAGAGCTTATAATCGACGAATTGACGTAACCGTCTTTCCCAAGTGATCACTGCGGAGGCGTAGCCTCGCTGCGCAGCTTCCACGAATCTTCGTGCAAATACTGAGTCCTCTTGCAAGTTCAATGTTTGGGTATGCAGATAGGAAATGAGTTCGCCGTGTTTCGTACTCGCTGCACCTTGGAAAACTTTCCAGTAGTCTTGCAACTGGTAGCCGTGATCGCTGTTGTGTTTGAAGAGGAAGTAGAGCACGCGAAAAGATCCATCTTCTTCCGCTTGAGCACAAGCTTTTCTGAGCACGAGTTGATCAACGGCAGGGTAATATCGAAAGAGTACCCCCAGGGCTCGTTCGCTGTCAGACCCAATCGTGATCGTCATAGCGGCCGCCAGTACATTCTGCAACTCTGATTTTGCAGCCAATTGCAGTGCAAGCTCCACTGTCGCTGGTGTATTAGCTCGACATCCTAGTAGAAGCATTCTCATAATATGGCCGTTCTCAGTCGTTTCATTCGTCTTGACCAATTGGTCCAGAACCGGAAAGTAGTTTGACCATCGGCTCTCCTTGTCACTGGACACGTGTTCAAATTGCCTGTAGCCCATTGCGAAGTCTTGTTTACGATACTTCCTATTACAGAGCCTCCTTCTCGTAGGTAAGGGTATGAGCTCCTGTTCGAATGGGGTCCACGGAGCATAATGTGAATCTGGCGGAGGACCATATGCTTCCTCACACTCGAGAAGCCGCTTCGCAACGGCAACATGCCCATACCAAGCTGCACGTTCCAATGCTCGTGGGATTTGTTTTCTTGGCAGTTCTGGTAACAAGAGAATGTGGTCAACGATGCCGACTCGACCAGCCGCAGAAGCCGCCTTTAGTACGATGCCGATGTCAAGTGACGAAAGCCCAATGGCGGAGCGGTGGTCCAACATACTGCAGACGATAGACTCTTGACCAGTCGACGTAGCAAAGAGCAAGGCCTCAGACTCATAACCTTTGTGTTGCTCAAGGTCCTCGAGTTCTGTGACGCTTTTGACTTCGACACCGTCATGGATGCTCTTGTATGCCTCTTCAAAGCTGACATCTTGTCCTTTGATCACCTTCGCTCGATCTACCTGTCGATTACGCTCAAATTGATATGCGGGTTCAAGCTTTGATAGGAGATCAACGTGTAATGAAGGACCAGACCGACTATGGCTTATCGTGTACCTACCCACCTCGTCCTCATCCAGGAAATGTGGGCTTCGGTAGCCGCTTCGTAGAAGCATATTCGCAATGGGATGATTGCCTGCCGACACCGCTGCGCTCAGAGCATCATTGAACAGACCTTTTTGACCGATAGAAGCGCCTGCTGCAAGGAGGGCTTTTACAACGTCGATGTGACCGCGATATGTGGCTGCCTGCAGCGCATTGCCGTAGTAACCACCGGAGTTGTCCACAGCTGTACCACTTTTTATCAGCATTGTGGTGATAGATAAGTGACCTCTCATCGCGGCTGCTTGAAGCGCATCGCCGAACGATCCACTTGCATTCACTGCAGCATTTATGTCGAGAAGCAAGCGCACAGTCGTGCCACGGCCCATCAAGCTTGCTGCACGAAGTGGTGTTCCGAAGGGTCCTTCGTGCTCGATGTCGAGACCCTTGTCGAGGCAAAATTCGATAATCTTGTTCTGGCCGTAGAACGCAGCCGTTGCGATGGCGTCGTTTGGCAGCGCTTTGGTTTTGAAGTAGTTTCGAAACCAATCAATTTTACTATCCTGGAAAACCCTGATCCCATTTCCGATTGAAGATTTTTTGCTCCCGCTGGGTGACTTCGATGTCGAGTGCAGGCAGTCCATGAGTTTTGTGAAGCCCATTCCCGTGGCAGCTTCGAAAACTTGGTCAAGGGTGTCTTGCGAAATCGGCAAAACACGCTTCTCGAGAAGTACCACCGCAACGTCCTCATGGCCGTTACGTAAAGCTGCTTGTATAGCCGAAACTATCGTTTCAGCTGTGGTGTTTTGAGATGGAAACTCAATGATGAGCTGCGCAATGTCTCCGTGGCCATTGGCACATGCAGCTTGAAGTGGGGTCGTGTTACGTCCCCCTTCAATTGCAATATCGGCACCCAGCTTCAGTAGGCCATTCACCACACGGATTTGACCCGTAGCGGAGGCCAAGTAAAGACCAGTAAGTCCATGCGAATTCTTCTGATTGACATCGAAACATGATCTTCCGGACAGGATTTCGATGGCAAATTCTAACCCGTACAGACATGCAGTGAAGAACGGAGTGGCGCTTTCGCTCCCGATAGCAATGAGATCCGAGAGACATGTGTGTGGCCTGGATAGGGCCTTTACTATCTCGTCAACTGTCTCGATCCAGGATGGAAAAGGCGAAATGTACTCCTGATCAGAGAACATGAATTCTTTCAAGACGTCTCCTAGACGCCCATTACGGTCATGTTCGCTCGCGGCGTTGTAGTGGAGCGGCCAGTACATTGCTGCATATACGTCGAAATCGTGAGACGGTTGAACACCGAGTGTCAGATCGGGGAGTGGGCTGTCGATACATCTAATAAGACAGCTTGAAGCGGCTGCGCTATTAGCGTCCATCATACTGAATTCCGGGAGACGCGACAAATATTCTTGAACCGAAGTATGGGCGAATCGGATCGTGTCGAGCTCATCATCGAGAACCACGAGATGAGAGCAGATTCGGAGTAAATCGGAAAGCTCCAGAGAGTTCTGCGATCCGTCTCGTGCGATGGACGCTGCGGCAAGTAGTGTTGCGGGTGACAAGGGTTCGTGCAGGCACATCATTAGCCGAAAAGTTTGTGCTGCTACCTCGTACGCCAGAGAATCGGGTTTGGAGATTTGATCGAATATCTTCGCATACAGATGGTCGACAGTAAGAGTGGAAGCTCCAGAGGGATTTAATATCGCTTGCTCGATACTGTCTTTCCACTTCAGGTCGCAGAAATACCTCAATTGGAGCTCCACCCATCGGAACCTCATCAATATGTTAGTCCATAGCAACGCATTTCAGAGGGGAAAGACTCACATCCCATCCGCTCGGTCGAGAAGATAAGACTCCAGTTTCGATTGAAGGGGAAGGTCTTCTTTACCATCAAGAAGATGCTTGTTGTTGATCGCAGTCGAGACGCAATGTACAACGAAATGTTGCATGTCAGCTTGGGTAAGCGAAGCTTGTAAGCGCATTTCCTTTGCCCCTTCCAGCCACTGGGAAACGTTGGTGTCATCTCTACTGGACAGCAGCATCTTCACCACACGGGCTCGATCATCGCGAAGCACTAACAGCTCATTGAGCAGAAGATGTCTGTCCGCGACGTCGATCTCGTCGATGGCATCAATTATGATGGTTACCTCATCGGTTTGGAGAAGTTCGGCTATCCAGTGTGTGCATTCGTGTGGTTCGAGTTTGTCCATAGTGCCCATGCCAACCTTCCCCCTTGCCTCTCTCCGCTTGAACTCCAAGTGAACTTGCTCAACGATCTCAAACGTTTCCTCGTTCTTGACAGTGAGTTGCCTTAACAGACTTCGCATTACGTCCTTCGCATCGCATCTGCCGCCGTGTCCTAGGGTGTCGCCGCAATAGTAGTACAAAACGAATGATTGCACACTAGTACCCTGCAGTGAATCATCAATTACTGTAGACATCAGATTGGTTTTTCCAGAGCCCAGAATACCGCGAAGCCACAGAAGCGATGAAGATGCACTGGTTTTCCAGTCGACATAACGGGAATCGCTCATAAGCCATTGAGTGGTACCGCGTAACCGGTGTTTTGAATGGCGAGTATGGTGCTCTCTGTATGGAGTCAATGACAGCCATGCAATGAAGTCGCTGAACGATTGCGCTTTTAGCGAAGTCATGATGTTCTCATCGATTCGCATAACGTCCGTCCGTATAAGTCGTTGGATGTGTGAGTCGCACATGCTGGCTAGCTGTCGAATTTCAGTGTCATGCTTAACTATCTGCCGAAGTCTTTCACCCTGCGAAGTTGAAAATGCGCCTTTTACTGTACGTTCTGCTGTATGTTAGAAGTCGGCGCTAAGAAGTCAGACGTGAGACTTACTGGTAACATCATTGGTAGAATAGCGTATGCTCTCCCCAAGGAAGCTTAGAATGTGGACATATAGTCCGAGGACTTTGCTGCGAATCTGGGTATGGAGTTCGAAGTCCGAGTCCATATATAGGGTTTCTACAGCAGCGTATGTAGCAATGGTCTGTGTGACAATCTCAATCCCCTCAATCGTGGCTTCCAGATACTGCTTGTCGTCGATGGCAACTTGCAGCAGGAATCGAACAGCTGCCCAGGGTAGACTAGCCGCACCTGAGTTGAACTGCACGGCGATATCGCCCACGGCTTTGAAATGGTCTATCCACCGGATGATCTTTGCGAGCACGTCACGCAATATGACCTCTTTCCCGCGGATGGTGATCTTCCATCTCTTCGCAGCGAGTGCCCTCTGTTGGGTAACGGCCTCATTCAACACGGCATCGACTACGCGACCGTTGCCTGTGTTGACGGTGGCGAGGATTTTCTGTATTTTGGGATCGAGCTTTGCGTTTGCGGTGTCCCAAAGGGATGAGGTAGAGTTGGTGCTGTTAGCTGGAGCTACAAGGGACGTAGTTCCTGTTGCGGTGGTTTGAGTAGTAGCTGACATGCTGCGGCTCTTCGCTATCGAAGTTTTTCGACGAAGTGTGCGCCTGCCCGGAGTATTGGTTCAAGTAAAACGGAACGCATCTGCTAGGCTTCCAAAGCTTATAAGCAGAAGGTGTATGGGATCCTGGGATGTTGGAGAAGGCGGAGTGCAGAGGTGCATGGCGGGGCGCAGCGTAAGCCTTCATCTAACACCCATGTCATGGACCATCTCCTCCACTGAGGACTGGATCTGAGATAACAGACCCCGAACAATGGCTGTGCAGCGCTGCGATGCAACATAGTTGCTTACCCGTACAACCAATTCTCCAAAGGCTACCGGTGAGCTACCGGTGATTAACAACCCTGCAATCGAGCGCCATTCCTTTACATGATGTGAGCCTGGTTCAAATGTTGCTATGTTGCATCGGCCAACTCATGGAAGAATGACATGAGTAAGGATCTTCAAGAACACGTGAAGCTCTACTCGTAAACCTCGTCGAAGGGATGCACACGGGGGCCATTCCTCCAGTGAACGGCTTAACGTTCGTGGCTTGATGATCGAGGCCAGGAGAGACGGAGCAGCGATGTCGTCGTTGTCCAATCGGCTGAGGCCAGCGCGTCTGCTGACGCGATACAGAGGAACAAGGTAAGGAGAACGCAGATCATGCGCAATGACGTTACATATGAGGCCGCGGAGGAAGTAGATGGAATCGTGGTGATGTCGCGAAGGATGGACACGACGCGTACGCGTCCTGGCTGGGAGGATCGCCAGGGCTGCACCGACAGGCAGGCACGACCCCCACTTGACGCGGGGCATCCGCCGCTATCTCTGCGCAGCGCCCATCAACCAATCTGACACCCGACGAAATGCCTTACATCACTCTCGCGCACGCATCGCAACACCGCGCAACACTTTTCCAACTCCCAAACCCTCCCTAGCCCTCCTTAAAACCACCACCACGATGTCCACCCCCCTCGAACGCGCCCTAACCGCCATCGACGCAGCCCACGCAGAAGACCCAAATAAAGTCAGCATCAATGGCACCGAGATGCCCTACGAACTCCACTACGCGCAGAAATGCACCTCTTACCTCGAGAAGCGCGCCCCCTCCGCCTCCGAGCCCCTCCGCATAGCCATCCGCGCCCAACACTTCCGCCGCTGGGAAGTGCCTCGCGCGAGCTACCCCATGACGCGGCCCGGCTACCACGCCTGGCGCACGTTCCTAAAAAAACGACAAGCCGAGCTCGTTGAGCAAATCTGCCTCGATGCTGGATACAGCGCTGAAGACGCGTCGACAGTCGGCAGTTTGATCCGCAAAGAAGACCTAAAAGTGAATGAGGAGACGATGGTGTTAGAGGATGTGGCGTGTCTTGTTTTTCTGGATGACCAGTTCGAGGCGTTTGAGAAGGAACATGACGAGGAGAAGATTATTAAGATATTGCAGAAGACGTGGGGGAAGATGACGGAGAGGGGGCATGAGCTTGCGTTGGAGATTCCCATGGGGGAGCGGCCGAGGGAGGTTGTTATGAAGGCGCTGGAGGGGAATTGAGATGGGGATGAAATAAGGTGAAATGAAATTTGAATTGAAAAGAACTGTGTGATGTTTTGTTCATTATGTGGGTGTGCCATTTGTTATGTGTCTGGGTATCGTTCTGAGCCTGTGATATCTTCTTCCCTCCTCTTGTAACCAATAAATCCGCGGGTTGAAGCCTAAGCTCCGCCCTCCCTCTTGGCGTACTCCTCCTCCATGGCCTCCTCGTACCGCTTCTCGGCTTCCTTCTCCTGCTCAGTCTTCTCGCCGTTGTTCGCGTTCGCTAGAGCGCGTGTAGCAGCGTTCTGTATGTCGTTTGTCGCCTGCGTAGCAGCTGAAGATTGGGTCGCTTGAGTGGACTGCGAAGTCGAGGACGGCATTGGGACGGGCATCTTGATGGTTGGGGTTTGTGGTGTTTGTAGGGTGTGAGATTGATGGTTTGACTCGAGATTGGAATATTGCTCTGAACTGGGTGTGGGAGATGGGAAGCATTGGAGGAGCGCGTGAGGGGCTATATACTACTATACGAATGACTGGTGTTGCGTCATTGTGGCGGTGCAAGTGTGGCTGGAATCTTCCACGGGCTGTGATTTGCCACTGATCTTCGTTAGGCGACTTTCGCATGTGAAGACCGCTGGCAGGTGCTGTTTGCACAACCACGATGCGTTCTTACTCTAGGAAGGTTGTCTTTAACATCATTGAAGGGCGATGCATTCAATGTCAAACCATGGAGTTGACGTGGTGGCATCGACAGAGAAGGTCGCAATACAACATCCCTTCGTCCTCTTACCACGATCGACGCTTGTTCAGTGCTTGTTCCTTACAGTATTACTGATACTCCATAATCGACATGGTGTCCTATACAAGCATTTTGCTTCTGCCTATCCTGTTTTGCGCTTCGCTAGGAGATACTACTAAAACACTCTCTGAGTCTCTCAAGCCAACACCGACGCGGCTGCACTCCCATGCACATCACCATGCCCCTACATCTACCAGCTCACCCCACGTCATGGCGAAACAAGGCCATCCTACTGAAGGCCCCGCCTATTCAAGCTGGGCCCTTGCAGCAATCTCGTCTGCACATCTCTCCGCTACATCCCAATGCCCGCCCCTCCAATCCCCGTGCGGCAGCGTCGGTTGCTACGATCCAAGCACAGAGCAATGCTGCGGCAAGAGGGGCATTTGCGAAATCACCCAAAACTGTGTCGAGGTCCAGCTAAACAACGGCACTATGGGAACAGGATGCTGCCCCGGTGGGACGTCCGCCTGTAATGGGATCTGCTTCGACGTATCCACATCCAAGTGCTGCGCTGCACCCGGTGGCACGCATGGACTTTGCTCTGCGAACCAAGACTGCTGTGGGAACATGTGCTGCGATGAAGGTGCGGTTTGTGCCAATGGATTCAACGGTCCGATGTGCTGGCAAAAGCATGATAAAGGCACGGAGGATATTGAGGGCCACGCCTTTATTCCACCAATTATTCCCGTTCCGAGTACGCAAAAGAGCGGTAGCGTGAGGATCAAAGCTCCCAGAATCTTCCACACTCTGTTGTTCTTGGCCCAGTTTGTGGCTGGTAGTTCCGAACAGGCCTTTCCCGCGACGCGCCTCCAATCGCTACCAATACCACAGGGAGCGGAAAACCCGGACATGGGCAATTCGACCTCATCCCTCAACAAGCGTTCATCCTGTGAGCCATTGGAACCTTGTGGTAACGGCTGTCAATATAAACCATCAAAGTGTTGCCTGCGGGAGGATGGTACTTATGGATCATGTAACGCAGGCGACGAGTGCTGTCAAGAGTACTGTTGTCCTCCCGATACTATTTGTATGATCTCATCTAAGACGCACAGTACCGGACCGTGGTGTTCGCCGTCAGATTTACCGAGAACATCAGCGAATGTGCCATATGATCCGTTTCCTTGGCCTCACGACGTGGATGGGGCAGGCTTCAAGAACACTCGGATCAAGAACGGCTCCACTGGAATGCGGCCATCTGGTGTACTTTGCGTCATCGTTTTCTTACTGTCGTTGGTGGTTGCAAGCTCCGCTCTGGAATCAGTGTCGATGAATATCACTACAAAGACTGTGGACGGGCTGCCGATGACTGTTCCCGTTACTATGCCGACATATCCGCCGAGTGAAGTGGATATTGACATTGATATGTCCGAAAAGAAAGGCGGTGGTGGACATGGAGGAGGAGGAGGTGGTGGTGGTGGTGGCCATGGTTCTGGTGGAGGCGGTGCAAAACCTGGTGGAGGTGCTCCTGGAGCTGTCGGGCCAGGTCATCGCAACACGGCAGCACGGCCGGCCATCCCATGGCTCTTTCAATTTCTGGTCTGAAAGATACCTTTCCATAATGTTAGCTATTATCCCGCGGTATCAGTAGCAGGCGAGTTTCGAGTCAGATCTGAAGCATGTGCAATGATCGTCACAGGTGTGTTTAGGCTGTCGGTCTAAGATTTCGAGCGAAAGGGTGGCGGATTGTCTTCTTTCTTTCCTCTTGCTGTGTGTACGATGAATGGGCACAAATATCATGCAGGTGTAAGGCTGTGGGTGGATTTGGATAGCCAATTTAAAGGATGTACATACTGTCCATCATGTCAGTACAATCAAAGTGAAGTACGCGAAACTTCGTGAAGACATTGATAGGCTCAGACTTGCCTTTTTTAATATCGAATCAATGGCACCATATGCGTAGAGGATATCCTAACTATTGCTAGATAGGAAAGCCCCGAGGATAAGCATCGGTGCCTCAACCGCTTGCTCGGTTTGTAATCATAGCCAAAGGGAAAAGGAGGAAGAAAGAGTGACTGACCTTATCGACTTAGAACATGCGTGCCTTTGGTCTTGCCCGTCTCCATTTTGGCAGTGCGAGCGCCGAATTGTATCGCACGCTTCTTCTCTGCAGCTACTCTTTTCATGCCCAATTGCCATGCCAACAAACGAAGTGCCCGCTTCCCGGGTTCGAGCAGCTGTGCAGGGTCTTCGCTATCAGTGACTTGCTCCAGGCCGAAATCGCATTTGGACGTCACCGGAAGACGGAGGGCTAATGCGATGAAGTCTTCGTCGAGGTACGGAAATCGGACTTCTCTACTGCTGTTGCTGATCACGCGATCATCACGACCCAAGTTTCTCTTTCCCAGACGACTGAAGTCGAGTTCCAGCTCTTCAATTAGGCCAGGGTACCTGCGCCGAGCAAATGCTGTAGCGTGTCGTTGGTACCCACCGAAGAGCTCATCAGCACCGAGTCCTGAAAGGAGTACGTGCGCGGTTGTGGAGTAGGGCTCAGCTTTGGCCTTGCCCACAACCTGCGACAAGCCGACTCCGCGGGAAGCGAAGTAAAGTGCGTATGATATGGACAGATCCATTTCTGTGTTGTGGGGATGCATCAATGCCATGACGGTGCTGCGATGAGCTTGTGTCTCGGTGTACGGTATGTTGACCTCGACGAAGCGCCACTCACGTCCAGGACAGATCTCTACCAGCTCTGCAAGGGATGATCGTCCAGTGATACGGTCGGGACAGAGCTCATAGGGACTGGCGTTTGGCTCGAGATTGGAGTGAATCCGAGGATTCTCAAACGCGACATTGAGCAGGTCGACAGGTTCGCTTAGTGGTAGGAGGTCGTGACACATGCGCGCGAGAATTGTGCAGTCCAGACCACCAGAGAAAAGAACGGCTACGCGTGTTTCTCCCAGGACTCCAGTCTTCGGTTCGTCAGTCACCGCCTCACGTATGTGTTGAACGCGCAGTTGGAGTGATCTTTCCAACGACGCCCTTAGTTGTTCTACTGCCCCAGCATCTTGTGAAGCAGAGTTGCTGTCTATAGTCTGATTCATGACTGGGAACGGTAGAGTCTGAATCTGTTAGCAGAAGTCGTGTGCCAGATGACTTACCTACGAAAGACAAGTCAGAGTCCTCCTCTTGATCTGAGCGGCAATGCGGAACTCTCGTTCCTGGGAACGAGTTTGACGTTGGGTCTGCCAGCTCTACGTCTACAACATAGATACCATCGGCTTCCACCTCGGCCCAAGACTCACCAGAGGCATTATCGCACACGCTAGAGAGTACAAGGGTGCCATCAGGGGTAGACTGTTGGAGTAGCGATCGCCTTCCTAGGCAGTCGCGTCCGTAGTAGATGCGTTTGTGAGATGCATCGTAAAAGACGAGAGCATATGGGCCTCGCACGACTGACAGCAGCTCGATTACGCGTCGCATAGACGCCTCGCGCGTTCCAGTACATGCGTCCAGAAGTTTGGCAAAGACTAGCTTAGAGTCATTACCATCAACTGCATGTCCAGCAACGCTCCACGCCTCGCCGTTCCAGCAGAAGACGGAGCCGGTCGTATCATCCCTAAGTGGCTGCTCAACGATGTCGTTGCCGCGGAGAGCAAGAACCGTGGACAGGAAAGTCGCGTGAAGACGCGTTGAGACGTCCTTGGCGCTGGATTCGATAATGGTCTGGTGCTGCCCTGTGCTGTCTGGCCCTCTATTCCGGAGCAGTTGCTGGGTGTTGGCGTCAGGTGTCACGTGTCCAGTCCGACTGAGCGAGAAGAAGATGCCGCACATGGCTGGGCTGATGAGATGGCGACGCAGGTTTGGTGTTGGCAGTGGCACGGCTGCAGTTGCTTGACGCGCTAGCGGCGGTGGCTCGGAGACTCGGCTTCTAGATGCCGGGAGACCATGCGGACGATTCACACACGCAGGCGCAGCAGACGTCAATCACCAAGGCACTTGACTTATATTCCCCCTGCGAGAGCTGTTGTGAGCTCTATTCCAGACCCATGGACGCTTGATCAACCACCCACAACCCATCCATAATCCCCGTCGCACTCGGTCTATGTCTCCCCCGAACGCAACTCCGCAACCCGATGCAGCCCACGACAGCCACGCCGAAAGGGAGCTAGACAAGCTGAACGACCAGCACGATGTAGCCACGAGCAACCAGAGCGCGCCTTCCGCAGGGCAGCCTACAGAGTCTGAAGCACCGACGGATGACGCGAACACGGCGACGGACGCGGGGCAGCCTAGCCATGTCGAGGCCCAAGACGAGGGGCATGCTGGCAAGGAAGAGCCGACAGATGGGGTAGAGAAGGCACCTGAAACATCAGAGGAGACGAATGCTGCCCCAACAGGTCTCGAGGAATCCCAAGAGAAAGACACAGAATCTGCGCAGCCAGCATCTACCGCGCCGATAGAGGAGCTCACCACCAAGACAGAGAACACGGCGCTGGACCGAGCATCAACACCACCGCCGGAGCTCAGCGAGAAATCAGCAGGGAAAGCGCCCATACAATCACCGTCGCCTCCTCCTCCACCGCCAAAAGACGACAAATACCTCACAACCAGCAACGTGCCCAGCCGAACCACATCCCCAATGTCGCAGGAACGATCGAGTGGGAGAAACTCGGAAGATGCCGCAGCCGACGACTATGGGACGAACCATGACGGCACAAGCGACGCGGTAGACAATTCGCAGGAGGAGATACAGAGCATCATGGATCAGTTCCAAGGGGATAGTGGGCCTGGCGAGAATGAGATCATGTCGCCTAGGTTGGAAATCGCGAACCCCATGTTGGAGTCGCCGTCGACGCCGTACCCACCGCGAAGATCAAGTCTCGTGCCGCTCGACAAGCCCTTGCCCGTTCCGGCTGACGATTCAGCTTCGACCGCCCCGCTCCAATCACCTCCTCCTCGCACATCCTCCCTACATCGCGTAGGGACGGGCACTTCATTCGCCGAACCGTCATCGCCCAGTGCACATGCCTCCAAGTACAAGCCAGCGCAGCCAGCACCAGAGCCCGAACCAGACCTACCCTTCGACTTCCACCGCTTCCTCGAACAACTACGCCATCGGACAGCAGACCCCGTTGCCAAGTTCCTGCGCTCTTTCCTGCTCGAGTTTGGAAAGAAGCAATGGATGGTACATGAGCAAGTCAAGATCATCGGCGACTTCCTCGAATTCATCAGCAAGAAGATGGCACAGTGTGAAGTTTGGCGGACCGTCTCAGACGCCGAGTTTGACAACGCGAGAGAAGGCATGGAGAAGCTGGTCATGAACCGGTTATACACACAAACGTTCTCGCCTGCGATTCCTCCCCCAGAGCCGGCATCACCACGTAAGGGTCGACGGAGGCAGGAGCCGCCGGGACCAGGCCGAAGGGGGCAGCACCAAGAGGATGTAGAGCGGGATGAAGTCTTGGCGCAGAAGGTGCGCATATATAAATGGGTCAGCGAAGAGCATCTGGATATCAAACCGGTAGGCGAGAAGGGTCGCAAGTTTTTGCATCTCGCCCAACAGGAGCTATTGAAGATCAAGAGCTATCGGGCGCCTAGGGACAAAATCATCTGCATCTTGAACTGCTGCAAGGTCATCTTTGGCTTTCTGCGGACGTCAAACTCTGATCAATCAGCCGATGCTTTCGTACCACTGCTCATTTATACAGTACTACAAGCGAACCCCGATCATCTCGTCTCCAATGTACAATACATTTTGCGGTTCCGGAATCAGGACAAACTCGGTGGGGAAGCTGGCTACTACATATCATCGTTGATGGGCGCCATCCAGTTCATCGAGGGTCTCGACAAGACGTCATTGACAGTGACAGACGAGGACTTTGAGAAAAATGTCGAAGCAGCCGTGTCGGCCATCGCTGAGCGTCACGCAGCTGAAGAGGCCGAATCTTCATCATCATCCGCATTATTGCATCCTACTGCGCCTGGTCACAAGCGTATGCCGTCACCCCATTATCATCATATAGCGGAAAAGACGACACCACTGCGACCAGAGCTTACACAAAGAAACTCCATGGAGGCAGAGACCGCAGGGCCGAGACGGTCAACAAGTCTGAAGGATCGCAAGTCCGAAGCGGAGCAGCCAGAGGAAGAGAACGCAGCCGTTGCAGGCCTACTGCGAACTATACAACGGCCGCTCAGCACCATTGGTCGTATCTTCTCCGACAACGATACAAACCATCCGTCTGGACCTGCAGCGGCCCAGAAACCACAATTACCGCCACGTGCGTCAACAGAGTTTCCCGGCAACATGAGCGAGAAGCAACGCCCGTCGCATGACGAAGACCGGCAAAGGCAGAGGTTGACGGCTGAAGACGCCGCAGCGCGACAGGCTTCAGCTGAAGCAGAGGAAGCGAGGCGCATACAACGGCAGGAACACAAAGTCGTAGTCGAGACGCTGACAGGCATGTTTCCCCAGCTGGACCGGGATGTCATCGACGATGTCGTGCGGCAGAAAGAGGGCCGGTAAGTTCTTTTTCGATTCATTCCATGCATGTTGCCAGATACTAATGATTGTTTAGGGTCGGTCTTGCAGTTGACGCATGTTTAGCATTAGCGAATCCTTGATAGACTTATTTATCTTCTCGGTCGAGTTCTTGGAGAAACTTGGCCTTTTCATAGTGAACCAAGAGCTATTTGACGTTGCTTCATCTACACTATTCAGCATTTCCATATCGTACTTGTGCTCACCGCAGCAAGAGCTCAAACATGCTATCTATTCGTCGTTCGCAGTTCTGTAGTTCGCGTGACCCTTGAGAGCACATGACTCTCCATTGGGAGACATGGCAAACGATGGAAAGATACCCTTGGTACGCATTTCCACAGCTGACGCGAGAGTATGTGATATATCTTACGCGGAAAACAAGAGCGTTTACTATGCCATGTGCTTGTTCGCGTTTGTGTGCTTTGAACTTCTCTGTCCAGTCTTCCTCGTTCTCTGATATCTCTCACTCTTTCAACATTAATTCCACATTCAGGCATTACTTCTACAGGCTACTTCTCATAAGAAAGCCTTTATTCTCTTATCAAGTACAGCGAAGTAGGTTCAGCGCCCTGCCGATAACCATGTTCGGTCACCACTACTCGCTCCTGCCTGATCCGCGCGGGCCACCGATCGAACGCGAACTGCGCGCTCTTTCACTTTCACTTTCACTTCTCCACCATCTGATCTCGAGCTCACCTGATCCAATGACGCAACACCGCCTCGCTTATTTCGCACAGCCGATACTTTGTTCCGCGATAGCAAATTTGGTGTCGCGATCCTGCGACCCTGCCTCCTTCAACACTACCACCCAAAACACCCACCTCTTCTTCATTTCTTGAACTCCTACTACTTCACTCATCTCCTGATTACTCCTGATACACTCAAGTACTTTGTTTGCGCTTCGCGCACCCCACCGCCATCATGTATTCCATGTTCCTGGTCCACGCTCTTCTCCTCATTGTACTGTCCTATCTTCCCGTCGCCCACCATGTCTCTGACGTGTTGTTTCGCCATGTTCTCCACATCAATATCTTCGAGTTTGAGCTGCAAAAGCATCCCTCTGAAGACATCGTTGCCCTTCTGTGAGTAATACCCAAGTGTGAACCATGTGTAGGACGTACACTGACTCCATAAACCAAATTTCAGGCGAATAAACGCACTCTCTGCCTTACTCGCCCCACTAATAATCTACATCTACTCCCTTTACTTTCCTTCTCGCCATTCCGGCAAGGACCGCCCATCAGATTTCTCGATCGACATCACATGGATCGTACGATCTCTTCATGGGATGCGAGTCTGGTGTTTTGGCAAGAAGAAACCCCAGACACTGTCTCTCTCCGACTGCAAGCAGTTCTACAGGAGCTTCTCGAAGATGGTAGATCTGTCAGACGCGAGGAAGAAAGCCTCCAAGATGTCGCGGAAAGACCTCCACCGGATCAACCGGAACAATGTCAGTCGTTGCCTTCATAATAGCAAGATTCGCCTGGACCGGGAAAAACTTGAAAAGATCCAGCACGCCTTGGAAAACAAGAAGCTTTCACTGTCGGTTACTGCATTGAACGACGTCATCAACTCTCTCTTCTCCGATCTCATCAATCCTTCAACCTACGATTCACTACACACTTCAAACCTGGACAAGCTCAAACAAGTACACGAGTCTGTTACACGGTCCGATACGACTAAAGATACCCGGATCCGTACACTTGTGGCCGGTCACAACGACGTGTCGGAAGATCTTCGCCACAAGAATGCGGAGCTCGACATCGCTCGGACCGAAGCATCTGATCAAAAGGATGACTGCCAACGATTGGAGGCGCGACTGCAAAAGCTGGCCGACAACAAGTCAAAAATCGAAGAGTCATTTCGCAAATGTAGGTACGACCTGCGGCAGGCTGAGTTCAATCTCACCGAGAGTTCTCGAAGAGTGGCGAATCTCGAGACTCAAATTGAGCGAACGCGTATGTCCGCACGAGATGCCGACGAGCGCGCAGAAAGTATCAACGACGAACTTCAGGATGCCAACCGCCAGCTGAGAGACTCCGAGCGCGAACGTGCAAAGCTTGAGGCCGAGTGCGATCGACTTCAGACTGAGTTGAAGACAAGCAAAGAGCAGTTGAACGGTGAAGCGGGTCTTGAGAAGAAGACCCACGATCTGAACGCTGCTCACGAGCAGATTCACCAGCTACAAGTCGATGTTTCCCATCTCAAAACTCAACACGCCAACGCCGTTGCCGACAAGGACCGTGAAGTTAGCTCCCTCAAAGAGCACCACGCAGCCATCATCTCCAGTAACGACAAGGACCAACAGGAAGAGGTCAAGAGCCTGCGCACCCAACTCACTGCGACGATCACTGCGAAGGATACGGAACTCGAAGTATCACGCGCTCGACACCTTACTGCCATCAAGCTCAAAGACGCTGAGCTCAAAGCCGCCATCGTCGCTCGAGACAGTATTCAGTCGGAGTACCTTTCCAATCAGCTCGCTCACGTAAACCTGCAAAAAGACGAAGACGCCAAGAAGCTGGAACGTCTACGCATTGAACATTCCACCACTATAACCCGCAAAAACGAAGAGCTCGGCATCGCCGTATCTCGCCATGACGATGCAATGCGTGAGCTCCGTGGACAGTTCGACTTGGTCACTCAGCAAAAGGAGGACGAAGCCAATAAGCTGAAAGACTTAAGCATCGAGCACACGGCCGCCATGGCCCTCAAAGACCAAGAGCTCGACACCATTGCGTCTCGCCATGAAAGCCAGATGCAGGAGCTGCGTGAAGAGCTCCATCTGGCTAAGGAACAAAAGGCCAATGAAGCTAAGAAGCTGCAACACTCACGCTCCGAGCATGCTACCGCGATCAATCTCAAGAACGCAGAGCTGCAGGAAGCACACTACGAACTCGTCATCGCCATCTCTGGCAAGGAATCAGAGATCGGCACACTTCACACAAAACACGCCGCCGCCATCTCTGGCAAGGAATCAGAGATTGGCTCACTCAACACCGAGCACGCCGCTACTATCGCTCGCAAGGATGCCGAGCTCAAGAAAGCCCACGACGACTACGCCATCGCCATCTCTGGCAAGGAATCAGAGATTGGCTCAATCCACACCGAGCACGCCACTGCCATCTCTGGCAAGGAATCAGAGATTGGCTCACTCCACACCCAACACACCGCTGTCATAGCCCGCAAAGATGAGGAGCTTGAAGCACTGCGTAAAGACCTCGACATGGCCAAGCTCAACAAGCAACCATCCTCAACCGATGGTCTGAAAGTCCTTGTCGATTCACAGCAAGAGACAATCCTTTCCATGACAAATGAGTGGAATGCAGTCTACGGCATCATCGAAAACGTCAACATGTGCCTGCCATCCGTCCTGAAGAGGTTGGGCAAGCCTTTGAACGATCGCCTTCCAGAGATAAGGGCCAGAATGCGACGCGACTCTGAATGTAAGCTCAGAATGTTCTTTACCAAAATACCCCTACTAATTAATTGATAGTCAGGCCTGCGGAGCACCTGGGTGACCTTGAGACTGCGATGAAGATACGTCGTGGACGGTATGAGCTGGAAGGAACGTTCGATCACCAGTGGGAGTTCTTGAAGAAGTTTGTTCCTGCACTTGTGGAGGCTCATCCCGACGTCAAAGAGCTGGCTAAGGCCATTGATGACACTTTTGACCGGCTTGAGGAGCAGGTGGTCCAACCCACCAAGGCGCCTACAATCGCGCCCGCCCCAGCGAAGGCGACCCCAGAGAAGCCCCCGAAAGATACATGTGCCTGCAAGTATCGTTTCTTGGTGACGGATAGCCAGGATGCCTGCCGCGACCATCTCGACGGGTGCGATGACTTCGCGAAATGGACCCCCGAGAAGAAGAAAAGCCTTCTGGGTAAGCTCGGTTTGACTGGCTACCAGCAGCCGAAGCAGACAAAGCCGAAGGCAGAGTCGATTACGTGCTGGCACTGCGAGCGTGAATTCGACAAAGCACACGGGCAATGGTTCCACGGCTCTCATGTCAAGGTAACATTATCCTAAACAATATCTATTCAGTGCATTGCTAACATACATGCGTTCTAGGTCTGCAAAAGGGGCGCCCCCAGCTTCGATGATGTCCCCGGCTCGAGCACACCAGGACCGAAGACTCCCGTCACCACACCTTCCAGACGCGCCCCCGTGATCGAGCACGGCTGGCAGAATACCGGGTCAGCGAAGAAGGCAGAGACATCAGACTTTGTTTCTAGTGGCATGGGAAGCAGCAAGTATGCGCGCCGATAGATTCTACAAGGCTCTAGGTCCTTGGCCCGTGGAAGGGAGCAAGGACATTGAGTAGAAAGAAAGAGACGGAGACTATACCAATCAGTGCGACACCACTAAACTGGGTGTCGTCATTGATGGCGAGGTATAGGACGGATACAGTGCAATGGACGACGATGATTTTGTTGGATTGTTTTGGGTTTGCGATGGCGTTGATGGAGCAGTTAGTGTTTCGATACCCGTAGGATAATCTCAAAGTTTGACAGCACACACGGGTAACAAAGCCTATACAAATCAATAGTTCAGGTACCTGGGATTCCGTGACTTTGGCTACAGCAGTGATGAGGGTATCGGTGTCTTCCTGGACTAGTGCGGTGTTCGATTGGGATCTTCGCGCACTCTAACTGCAAGATGCTGGTGTGCGAGGCTGGTTGTCAGACCTCTGCACTGCATTGGGCGGTAAGAGCATATTCCGTTGAGTAGCTTCTCGTCGTTAGGTAATGGATGTCAGGTTGGCCACATCGAGCAGTGGCGGTGAAGGAGAACATTGTGCGCAGCTCTTTCAAGTGGGCTCGTCGAAACATACTGAGTAGTTGTCTTCTTGTCGACAAGTACCGAACTGGCAAGTGCGGCTCCAGCCTGTCAGGCAAGCTGGCGTTGGCGTTGCCAGGCCGAGTCACGACAGCGAAGAGCCACTGTGACTATGACTCCACTTCGACTGTCTGGACGCATGGAATAGGCTTCTTCGCTGTGGAGACGCCGCTGGGAATCGACTCGCAACGAGAATAGGGGACACCCACGACGCAGGTCCGCGGCTTCGCGCGAAGGTAAGTTCCGCGTTCGATAGACCGGCCAGTCCATCTCGTCACGTTGTCACAAATCTCGTCATCAGCACCAGTCTTTTCAAGGACGAAATCGAATCCTAGCAGCTGGAATGCGATTGGCGAAACATCCAAGCATCGCCACATCTGGGTATGATGGCAGATCTCCAGGGATCCAGAACCGTAGCATAAACTTATTTGTTTGTTTGCAACGGACGACAGGGTCTCCAAACCCCAAAAGGGATGTGCCAGAAACGACGATGCGAATGTTGCCGGGTAGTTAGTAAGGAAGAGGCTCATGCGCAATTAAAGCTTGAGTAGTCGGGCAGTCCTAGGCCAAAGTCGTCGGTCGGCAAGCTCAGGTACCACTCCAAACTCTATGGCGCACAGGCCGGGTCGCTTTAGCCGGCTGCCGCGGTGTTCCTGGACAGAGGTAAGCATTGTGTAGCTATTTTCGATGCGACGTCTCTTCGTTATCGCAGCTGCTGATGAGAATCTCTGTTGGGAGAGGCGGAGGATGACGGATGTCAGTCGCGACGGTGCTGGTGGTGGCTGAAACAAGCCTAGCGGCACTCCTGGAACGGCGGATTCCACCACCTAACTGCAGCCAAGATAGCCGACCTCACGAACTCCTGCTTGCGCTACCACCCACATCGGTGTGCGACTCGACGACATCACGAATAAAGGATGCGCTAATGCTACTATTTTCCCCTCGAACGACCCGAGCTCAATCCACTTTAGTTTCAAGGCCGCAAGGCTGCACATTCGCACGGTGCGGAGAAGCCAGGCTAACCTTCCCTCCCTGCGCACATCGGGGCATCTCCCGCAACTCTAACCTGCTTTACCCTCACTCTACCCTGCGCAGCTCAGGCATCTCCCGTCTACCTGCCGTCGATCCCGCAGCAGATAGCGTGAAACCGACAATCTAGACAACCCTTCATCACTCTTTCAATAGAGTCACTATGTTTCGAAACGAAGCTACTGTGAGGCTCGCCACCATCATGCTCAGGGGCCACTCTGGTCACTGACTACGGCTGTCTACTACCTACGAAAGGTCTACCATGCGACTCAGAACCCTCGAGTATAAGACCTCATGTTCCCAGCGCCAAAAGTAAAAAGGCATCAGCTTTGATCTCATCTACTTCACACTTTCGCTTTCAGCAACCAACAACACTTTCGTTACTACTCTACTCGACTTTATTAGTCCTTACTATCGTTTGTGCAGAGCACTTCACTTCTATCACATTTTTACTCGATCTCATATCGCCAATCGTCCAATACTCGACTTTCGTCAAACACATCAACAACAACAACAGCAAACATGAAGTTCCAAATCGCTCAGGTTCTTGCTATCGCTAGCATCGCTACTGCTCTCCCTACCAACTACGGCTCCGGCTCTGGCACCACCCCAGCTGCTCCCATCACCACTGGAACTTCTCCCAGCTACGGATCTGGCTCCAGCTCAGGCCCCAGCTACGACTCTGGTGCTTCCGATGAGACTCCCAGCAGCGGCAGCGGCGGAAAGCCCAGCTACGGCGGTGGCATCGGTGCCGGTCTTCCTGGACTTGGTGGCTCATCTGGTGGCAAGGGCGGCCTCGGTGGCATGATCGGTGGCTTCATGCCCGGCGGCGGCAAGCTCCCTGGCCTTGGTGGCTCTACTGGTGGCAAGCTTCCTGGCATCGGTGGTGGCCTTGCCATCCCCGGCATTGGCGGCGCTGCTGGTGCTGGAGGTGCTGCTGGTGGCAAGGGTGGACTCGGCGGCTTCGGTGGCCTCATGGGCGGACTTGGCGGCGCTGGCAAGGGCGGACTCGGTGGCCTCGGCGGCCTCATGGGCGGAATCGGCGGTGGTGCTCACGGAGGTGCCAACGGCGGCGCTCACGGAGGTGCTGGTGCCGGTGTAGGAGGAGGAGCTGGTGCTGGTGTCGGTGGCTCCGTTGGTGGAGGTGCCCACGGCGGTGCTGGTGCTGGCGTTGGAGGAGGAGCTGGTGCCGGTGTCGGTGGCTCAGTCGGTGGTGGAGCAAACGGCTCTGTCGGCGGTGGTGCCAACGGCGGTGTTGGTGCTGGTGTCGGTGGCGGTGCATCTGGATCCGTCGGTGGAGGTGTAGGAGGCTCCGTTGGAGGTGGTGCCAACGGCGGTGCTGGTGCTGGCGTCGGTGGCTCTGTTGGAGGTGGTGCTTCCGGCTCTGTCGGAGGTGGCGCTAACGGAGGTGCTGGTGCTGGTGTCGGTGGCTCAGTCGGTGGTGGTGCTGGTGTTGGCGGTTCCGTCGGCGGTGGTGCCAACGGCGGTGTTGGTGCTGGTATCGGTGGCGGTGCTCACGGTGGTGCCGGTGTTGGTGCTGGCGTCGGCGGCGGTGCTCACGGTGGTGCTGGTGCCGGTGTTGGCGGCTCTGTTGGAGGCGGTGTTCACGGCGGTGCTGGTGTCGGTGCCGGTGCTGGTGGTAACGCTGGTGCTGGTGTTGGCGGCTCTGTTGGTGGCGGTGCTTCCGGGTCTGTTGGCGGTGGTGCTGGTGCCGGTGCTGGTGGATCTGGCTCAGTTGGAGGTGGTGCTTCCGGCGGTGCTTCTGGCTCTGTTGGAGGCGGTGCTTCCGGCTCTGGATCTGGCTCCGGCTCTGGCTCTCACTACTAAGCGGTTGTAGCTGAAGCATCACGCATGCTTCTCTGTACATTAGACTCTGGATTGGACGAACGTTAGGATTCGAGATATGACTTTTAATTCATCACTTTACTTAAATCTTTTACTCTTTTGCAACACTACTTTGACTCTCTATTTTGCTTGACTCAGACGAAGCAACTCCTTCTATCAGTGATCCTCATAATCACAGGTAAGCGGCAGACTCAAGAAACAATACAGCTCCGTTGTTGCCACTGGGTCGGACCTTACTCCAACATACCCAGCACAGCCTCCCAAGGCCTCAACTCCAGCTTCCCACTCTTCGCCTTCTCATCCAGCTGCCTCTCGTCATAGTTGCCAGCAACCCACTTCTTCACTTTGAGGTCACCCATCTTCTCCCACACTGTCTGCTCTCCACTGAAGTTCAGCACAGTAATAAACGCATTCTTCTCACTCCACCGCCGATACGCAACGACCTTCTGATCCTCCATATCAAGCATCTCGAAATCACCGTACACGAAGACATCCTTGTTCTCCTTGCGACACTCGAGACCGCGCTTCCAGAATGCACGCACGGAGAGCATACCGGGCGAGGGTTCAAGATTTGCGAGTTGAGCTGCGGCGTTGATGCTGGGATAGTCGTCGTTGACGCGCATCCAGGGTTTTCCGCTGGTGAAACCGGCTTGGGCGGATGAGTCCCATTGCATGGGTGTTCTGGCGCTGTCGCGAGCTTTGCGTTGCTGTATAATTAAGAATAAGTAGTCAGCTTATGTCTCATTCCCTATCTTACACACTGGGCTTACCATGATCTTGGCTGCTAAGGCCTGCTTTTCAGCATCGCCGGGGTAGAGGTCGCGGTACTTCTTGAAGAAGTTTATGCTTTCAATGTCCTTGTACTCCTCGGGTTTCCACTCTTTAGGCACGTTGCGCATGCCAATCTCCTCGCCCTGGTATACGTATAACGTTCCGGCAAGGGTAGTTTGCATCAAGCACAACAATTTTGCGCCATACTCGCGCCACTGGTCGCTATCATCGGTGAACCTGCTTACACTTCGGGGCTGGTCATGGTTTTCCACGTAGAGCGAGTTCCAGCCGTCGCGCTCGAGCATAAGGCGCTGCAGCCTGTTCACAATCTTCTTCAGATCACGCGCATCCCATGGCTGTAGAGTGTACTTGAAATCGCCCGGTACGTTGTCGATGTCGACCAAGTCGAAGACGAATATCATGTTCAACTCTTCGTTTTCGGCACCGACGACTTTGATGACTTCGTCGTCATCGCGGACGAATGGCATTTCTCCAACGGTGAGCGTATCGTATTTTGAGAGCACGTCGCGCCGAAGTTCCTTCAACCATTCGTGTAGTCTTGGGCCATTGGCGTAGTATTTATCGCCAGGCTGGTACTTGTTGTCTTTGACCGAAATGGCCGCATCAGGGAACGTCTGTACCTTCGATATCATGTTGATGACATCCATGCGGAATCCAGAGACACCCCTGTCGAGCCAAAAGCGGAGGATATCGTGTACGGCTGCGCGTACATCAGGGTTTTCCCAGTTGAGATCCGGCTGTTCGGGCGTAAAGAGCGATAGATAGTACTCCTGGGTCTTCTCGTCCCAGGTCCACGCAGAGTTGGCCTCTCCTAGGATCTGCGCCCAGTTGTTTGGAGGCAGGCGATTTCCATCAGCATCGTACTTTGCAGGCTTCCAGATATACCAGTCGCGTTTCGAAGATTGCTTTGATGAACGCGAGTCCAGAAACCATGCATGCTCTTCCGATGTATGGTTGACGACAAGGTCCATGACGAGCTTCATGTCACGCTTTTTGACTTCTTTGATGAGGTTGTCAACATCGGCCAATGTGCCATAGCTGGGATCGATGTCCTCGTAGTCTGCGATGTCGTACCCCATATCCGCTACAAAAAGTCAGCATCTGGTTCACACACATCTTCCGCACACAGAAGTTACCTTGTGGGCTCTTGTAAATCGGCGAAAGCCATATCACGTCGACACCAAGGTCTTTCAGGTAGTCAAGCTTTTGGGTGATGCCAGGGACGTCACCCCAGCCATCACCATTGCTGTCTAGAAACGAAGCAGGGTAGATCTGTTATCCAGTCAATGTTTGCATTGGCATAATGGTGGGTCGTCCATACCTGGTATACCACCGCTTCTTTCCACCAGCGGTGCTTGTCGGTTCCGACATATAGGTCTTTCTTTTGTGACATCCTGGCAATTCTGCGCGATGAAAGGAGACGTGATGTCGTGAAGTTTCGTTGTTTTTAGCATTGCGAGATGCGGTGCATAGTGGTTCACGTCATAGCCGTATGTGGGCCGAGCCAGTCGCGATGGCCAACAGATGTAGTGCATCTCAACGCGTGGATTCTACGTGGGGCGCGTCAACCCTCCCGATGTCGCGGGGTAGCCGTTGTGCCGACACCCAGCCACTCAGACGGAGACACCAGCCTCCCCCTGGTATTCTCCATTTCGATCCATCTGCAAATGTGCTTTCAGCAGCAACGTGCATCGTAGCCTAGTGTCATTCGCGCAATATGGTAGATACTGTGAAGATCGCGTTGGCTGGCGTAGCTCACGCGCCAAAATACGTCACTAAGCGGCTGCACGGCTAGGCACGCGACCTCCTACCCTCCACAGAAACCGGATGAATGCTACCGTGCAACACGTACCTACAGCAACACTCCATGTTGCCCTCGTATTCTTAAAGCTTCAGGAACCCCACCGAATCCGGTCCGATAACACGAACGAACAGCTTACATCCAAACCAAGAGCACTCAGGAGCTATGACGTACGATAACGATGCTGAGGAAAGAGGCACGTCCGGCTCGCGCACTCCGCTTCTAGGAAGATCAGCACACCAGAGGATAGGGCAGGAGAACGAAGGCCCTAGATGGACCTTCACGAGTGTGCTACAGTTCTTTGGTGGTGGCATCTATGCTCCTGACTCCACCACGTATGACCCCCTGGAGATATTGCTCAACACCGAAGACGCAGACGAGAAGGACGAACTCACCACGCTATGGCGAGACAACAAGCTCAGTGAGCTCAACTTCGTCGGTGTTGTGGTAAGTCTCGATCTATTTTCGTGGTTAATGCACTCGGGGACGCGCCTTCTACATGGCGCATGCTTCACGCCCAATCGCGACATGGTTAGGATGGGCACCATCCGTTGCATTGGCTTTCCTCAATCAACATCAACCCTCTCGATAGCATCCGACATGCTAATACATGACAGGCCGCCCTTTTAGCTGGCGTTCTCACGTCCACCGGAAGCTGGCCGAACATCTTGCCAAATGGGAAGGAATCGCCATGGTCTGTGCGCACATCGTGGTACTGCGGTATCATATTGTCGCTTTTCAGCATCCTTACAGCTGCTGATCAGACCGTACGGCTGCACCGCCTTTCATCACATCGCGATGGATTGGCCAATATTCGAAAACTGATTGCCAAGACGAACGGCGAGAAGAGCCACTCATCCAAGACTGGACGTCGGACACCTAGCTTACTACAAATCGTCACATGGCAAATGCCAGTGATGTTTTTGACCTCCGCTACTGTTTGTATGGTCGTTGGAATGTTTTTGCATGTCTGGTCGGCGACCACGCACCTGCACCATCCAACACTGTGGGACGATAATACCAAGGTACGTTCTTATGATATCCGTTCTACATAATGTTCTGACTCGTCCAAAAGGTTGCCGTCACGTTCAGTACTGTCGCTATCCTCGCAATGACGCTGTTCTTCGTCGGTCAGATTTCGCTTTACTCTCCAATTCGACAATGATGTCATACCCACGGACAGATGTTGAACAGATCTGAAATTTTGGGGGAGCCCATACTCGGCTTAGGCCTTCGAAGGCCTTCCTTCATACCACTACAAAGACGATTTTCAGCGATTTGGTTCCAATTCCACAGGTGTTTCTTCATTACTCGATTACTAGCAATCCCCATTCTGATTGTCGTGATTGCGCTGGCCTCCGCAGTGCCGTTTGCTCAGTGCGCCTGACCTAACCACACGATTAATTCAAGGGTATAAAGCGACGGAAAGCGCCTTCTTCAAGACTTCTCTAGCCAGTCATTCTGCACTTCGTCAGGCAAACGCATTATATAACGCTGATGTCCACCTGTTTCACTACTCGAGCAAATTGGCCTCCGTCATTGCGGGGTTTCTCTTTCTACAGATAGGGCTTGGCTCGTTAAATCCCACGCGACCAATACAAACTCTCACATTAGCTCACCGCATTTGTTCTATACGTTGCTCACAGACTCAACCACGACCTTTATACCACAAAGTCTTCCCCCACACCAGCAATTTCCTATATACAATCCGCTCAAGCAACATCTCATGGCGACGGTATCAACAGCGGGCTCGTACGAGCAGTACAAGCTTGACACCAAGCGCTTCATCTTCTGGCTCATCGACACTGCGAAGAAGCGGGACTACGACATCGCTGATCCAGCCGACACCCAGCAACCCTCGAGACGGCTGAAAGGCCAAGCGAGGAAGCAAGCAAAGCAAGTGACCAACCGAGCGACCGCGTCGAAGACCAATTATGTTATCTCGACGGAAAAGATCCTCGACTTGGCGAAACATATCGCAGACCATGAGGAGACCTCGACAATGCCCAAGTTTGTTTGGTACTCCTACAAGCGGGCCGTGAGAACGCGCCAGGCCTACGCCGACCGCTATGCCCAGGAAGAACTGTCGGAGACGGCTTCAGACGATGGCCACATCTACTTCCTGTGGCTGTTGAAACACTGCCACACGATCCTAAAGAAGAAGATCGCAGTGCAGGCGGTCAGCCGACCGGAGACTGCGGCACCTGCGCAACTTCGATTTAACATCGCGACTGAACCGACATCAGCGCCACCTCTCCTTCCAGTACCTGGATCCGCACCGCAGGCTTTTGGTGATAGTCAGGAGACCGTACCGGAAGAAATCGCGGCTGCTGAGGCCGAGCGAGAAGCAAAAGGTCATAAGCTGGATGAGCTGGCTCGGAAATTTGAACTCGACATGAAGGTCAAACAAGACGCGGAGGCTGAACTCGAAACGAAGAGGAAAGCCAAAGACGAGATCGCTTTGAGGAAGTCTTGCCTGGCGGACGATATGCGCATCATCGTCGAGCAGTTGGAGTCCGACTGGAACGACACTCACAAGGCCGATGGCGATGAAGATTACTTGGATGAGACCCGAGCTACTCTCATGACGGAAGCTGCGTTCCATCTCATACGCCACACGGAAGAGGCCTTGGTAAAAGAAGCTCATGAGAAAGGGCTGCCGCCATTTGATCCCTCTCTCGATGATGATGACTTCTTTGGCAAGACCTCAAAAGCGCTCAGAAAGATTGAGGCGGAGCGACGTTCACAACCAGGGGAGTATTTGTTCTTCGCATCGCGGTCGATCATCCAAGATGATGTCGCGAACCGGCATTCAAACGAGGACTACGACTTCCTAGTACACTACTTGTTTGAAGCCGCACTGGAACCAGTAAGTCTTCCTTGGTCTACCAAAAGTCTGTTCCATATCCCCACTGATTACTGACCATTGTATAGCAAGCTAGAAGGTCACATGAGGAACAGTACCAGATGCCACTACTAGCAGGATCACTAGACGCTTTGTCTCGCGCATACGGTTCGCTAGGCTCTTTCGGCTTCATCTCAATGGTTTTCATATTCGCCGCCGAGTTGATGATCAGAATTCGAACGAAAGACCAAAACCGTTCGCTGAGGGATTACATACCAATGTCACGACGGGCGAGGGGTGAAGAAGCCCAGTTCGCATCTTGGCATGAACGGGGAATCCGCTTCCCACATCTACTTCAGCAAGTCACAGACTCAGGGTATACACACCGAGGTCTGATCTTAGACCGGCCATTCTCTCATGCCCGGTATGCTAAGATGTGGAAGTTGGCGCCTGAGCATCTGTTCTGCGGTTTGCAGAACGACTACCCGTGGCCGGTGTTCAGGACTACCGAAATTGAAAAAGAGTGGATGATGAACCTCAAGATGAGGAACGTCAGCAATGGTCATGGCAATGAGTCTGCGCGTCAAGCGGCTGCCGCTCGGCACATTCTTCCGCCACAGGACGGAGACTTCTTGCGTAACACCATTCCGACTCTGAGAGCGAAGCTTTCCCTGGTTCACCTTTTGCTGCGCGAGGAAATGGGACTCGGCTTTGCCAATCTCAGCCCGCAAATGTTCGCCATAGCCCATTTGTACAACTGCTTCCAAAAGCGGGGCTGGATCAGCGGGCGCTGGCCGGAGCTTGAGCTCATCATGGACCGGCATTCGAAGAAGATCTTCTCCACCGCAATACCCACGAAACCAGATGAATTTTACTCGCGCCTGCTGCTTGTAGCCGGGTACTCAACCACGTTCATCAAGAAAACTCGGAATACAGACAAGGATGTTTACAGTCGCCGCGATTTTGGGAAAGGCACCCACAAGACGTGCGAGTTGGAACCGCTTCCGATGACGAAGATTCTCCGCGACTATGTCCACCAGAGGGAAACGGGAGTGCGCACCTGGTATCGCATGGATGAGGAGATGGCCAAGCACAGCAAAAGCTCTTCGCGGACGCAAGGTTCTGGCGACCTGAACATCTTGTCGTTCATCCAGGAGCTTCGCAAGTCGGCAGAGCTTCCTCGCGTTCTGGACCGCCTGGAATTTGACTACATCAGTCTGACGTTGCAATGCAACGAACTTTGCGAGAAGATCGATACCGAACAAGCACAGCTTAGCGCTACTGGAGGGAAAATACACAAAGAGGCGGACTGGAAGTCGCCCACCAGCGACGGGTTCATGATTGTGGCAACGCTCCTTGGAGATCTCGACCGCGTTGTGATGAAGAAGAAGCGCAATCCCAAGGGAAACATGGACATGGCAGATACGACCAATGTCGTTGACGCAGCTGTTCGAGTGATGCAAGGCTTTCTGGATGGGCTGAAGTAGGAGAAGAGGCGGACGGTCTGATTAGGCAGTTGACTTGAACAATGATACCCCAAATAGCATCTTCGCGGAGTAACTCGGATGGACCGTGATTGGAAAACTTCCCGTATAGCAACGATGCATCAAATCTCTGACCCCACACCATCTTCGCTTCACGGCTGGTTCACTGCACTGATATCAGACCGGCTCCCCACCTGTGTAACAATTCAGCTCATCTCATCTGTCGTGTAAAACTTACTCCGCATCTCTGCAACCCGGTTGAGATCCCAAAATGCACATCCGCCAATCACATCGAGGCACACGGGCTGCGGCTGACTGATGGCTCGGGATCACAACGCCACTAATAAAGCTTCGTATATGCACTCCAGATGTACTGTACCCGTGGAATGGTGTGATAGTTTCCCGCACCGGCTGGAATGCTGGGAGCCAGAAGTATCGAGAAAGCTTAAGACCGAGCTAGAGTCTCGTGTGGTAGTGCCAGTGAAGTGTCTCAACCTCAACCTTCTGCAACATGCGTCTTCTCGACCTCTATTCCGCTAGTCTTTTCTTGCTCGGCGCAGCATCTGCGTACGGCTATCCAAGCAGTTCATGTGAAGACTTGGCCTTGGTACTTCCCAACCGCACTTTCTTCCCCGCAGCATCAACCTACAACGCATCTATCCAATCTTATCCATTCCTTCAACTTCGGCTGCATCCATCATGCATTGTCCGTCCAACATCCGTAGAAGATGTAGCAACCGCCATCAATGTTCTGCGAGTGAGCAATAGCACCAAGTTTGCGATCAAATGCGGTGGTCATAACGCGAACGTCGGCTTCAACAATATTGATGATGGCGTCACAATCGACATGCAGAGCATGAACAAGGTCGAAGTCGCGAGAGGAGATCAGGTTGTGAGGGTCGGTGCGGGAGCGCTGTGGCAGGACGTTTACGACGAGGCTGAGAAGCGGGATCTGACGGTACTTGGAGGTCGCATTGGCGTCGTGGGTACAGCTGGATTCCTGACTGGAGGTAAGCTAGGATTCTTGTAACCAATCTTTGAAACTAGGAGACTAACCAACAACGCGCAGGCGGGATATCTTTCTTCAGCCCAGAGCGTGGATGGGCATGTGACGGCGTCGTCAACTTCGAGGTCGTACTCGCAAGCGGGAAGATTGTCAATGCCAATGCAACATCGCACTCTGATCTCTTCGCGGCGCTCAAAGGAGGGCAGCTCAACTTCGGTATAGTCTCTCGCTTTGACTTGGATGCCTTCCCTGCTGGTCCCATCTATGGTGGAAGAATCGTTTTCGGGCCCAATGCCACGACGCCTTTGCTTTCTGCATTTACCGAGTTCAAGCTCGGGGAATATGATCCATATGCAGCGGGCTGGATCACTGTGCGATACAACCATACGGCAGCGACGTTCACCCCAGTGAGCATCATGTGGTACACACGGCCAGCGCAAAGGCCTGGGGCACTGAAGGCGATTTTCGAGACCAAGCCGCAAGTCATAAATGGCATGGTTGAAGCTCCCATTAGTGAGCATACTAGGAATGCATCGAGACAAGTAGCCGCGAATCCTCAGCGCACCATCTGGGCAACGACCTCTTTCGCCATCTCGCCAACGATCATTAATCGCATTCACACCTTGTGGAAGCGGATCGTACCTGAGATTGCAGCACAATACGCATACGCCAAACCAGTCGCGGAGATAACGTTCCAAGCTCTTCCTGCACCACCTCGCAACGGCGCATCGCCCAACAGCTTGGGCTTTGAACCGGAAGAGACGCCAGAGAAGGATCTGGTATTCCTGCAGATAATCTTCACATTTGAGGACGCTGCCGCTACCGATGGTTTCGAAGAGGCCTTGAAGGATCTGGTAAAGCTAGTGGAGGGACTGACGAAGGAAGAGGGTGTTTTCCATCAGTACAAGTACCTCAACTTTGCAGCATCGTTCCAGGATCCGCTAGACAGCTATGGTGGGGTTGAGTTGGGGAAGATGAGGGAAGTGGCGAGGAAGTACGATCCAACGGGTATTTTCCAGACGCAGGTGCCGGGAGGGTTCAAGCTGTTTTGATACATGTGGGCAGGAATGTATGGAGGAGGGACGGGCGTGGAGGCATCGCGCGGGCGCGTCGGCGAGGTGGGACGCGTCCACGCCCGCGGGTGCGGGCGACATCGTCTAACCCCAAACCGGGTAGTGCAGGGGTGAGTTCCATCAAACCTACGCAACCACGACCGCCGTCATTTCGTTAGAAACTTGCGTCCAATATATCGAATGCTTTGCTTGTTGCTATGAACTCTGGGCGATGTATCAGTGTCATTAAATATGGAAAGTTCCAAAGAAGGCGGATGTCAAGGCGTTCCCCGCTGAGCCGCCCGCGATGCTGGCGATTTAAAACGCAAATGGGTACGTGTAACTGCTCCTGTGCTCTGAGTTCGCAAGACGATGGTTGATCGAGACCTCACAAGGACTACCTTTATCAATGATCGCGATTAGTATCGCTTCTAGCCTTGCTTTGTTACCATACTGAACGCTTTCCCGAGGGCCTCAGATGGCACGGTGGACATCTCGAACGACACGTTCCATCAACTCTTGATACCACTTGCAGGATCGCTGGCAACCTACCGCTGTCCGTCTGCCTAGATTGGTCAGATCGAGAAGAAATGGAGACAGTGAAGGGCCCATGGAAGTGGCGTCTCACATTCACTGTCATGGGAATCGCCTTGCAAATAGTCTCTCACTGCAAGTAACTTGTAGCACGGCCACAATATCTATACAACTCTTGGGAAAGAATTTGCCATAAGCAGCCGTGTTGCGCATCAAAAACTCTTCTTCTCGCCGCATCAACCCAGCTGTAGGTACAAAACTTCAATCACAGTCAACCTTGGAACACATCAACAATCACCTCACAAAGTCCACGGGTTATCAGTATTTACTTGGAACCCTCGATCAGCCTTTCAGTACTTCGAGATCGGCAGTCACACCCATACCTCGGCAGTTTACTACACCAACACCGCGCATATTCACCGCGTCAAGATGGATCCTGTAACCATTGTTCTTTGGGTGTTCGTAGCCCTGCTAGAGATCTGGCTGGTCTTCGCACTCGCCTACGCCGGGCTGCAGAGATACGATGGACGCAACTTCTTCGAACGATTCGTGGCCGCTTTGCTATTCCGGTTGTAGACGACGGAGTGGAACGAGGTTGACGCATGACGCTGGATGGAGAACACACTTGGTGGGAATGGGGCGTTGCGAGAAATGAAGTGGATTTATCGGAATGTCACGCAGGGTATACGACGACGAAACATCACGCAGTATGGCCAGAGATAGGCTGGATGTGAAGGAACTCTATATTTGTTACATGTCCCTACAACTGCAGTTCGTTCACCATTTCCTCCCCTGACAACCCTGCGAGCAAATTCTTGACACTCTCCGTAGCCATCTGTACCCGTGTCTCAATCGTAGCGCTGCCAATATGCGGAACAAGCACAGCTCTCGGCTGTTTCAGAATCGGGTGATCAGCTGTGATGTTGGGCTCATTCTCAATCACGTCCAGCCCAGCACCAAATATCTGCTCTTGATCCAGCGCCGTTACCAGTGCATCGGTGTCGATGATGGGGCCTCGCGCGATGTTGACGATAACAGCGAGCTTCTTCATCTTGGAGAAGAAGTCTGTGCTTACGAGATGCTTGGTTTCTGGCGTGAGGGCGCATCCGACAACGACTACGTCGCTTTCTTGTGCGAGCTGGTCTGTGCTGTTCGCCGGCTCGATGGGGATGGTAGCGTTCTTGATCAGACCGAAGTGGTCCTCTTTGACGGGCTTGCCAGGCTTGGACGTGAGATAAATGACCTTCTTGATGCCGAATGGCAGCAATCTCAGCAAGGAAGCCTGCGCAATCCTCCCGAATCCCAAGAAGCCGATAGTTGATCCTCGGATCTGCGGGCCAGTCATGAGCAGTGGATGCCATGGCATCTGAGGCCACTCGCCCTTTGCGACTTTCGTCATCGACTCTCCACCTCTTCTTTGGGCCATGAGAATAAGCATGATCGTAAGGTCTGCTACGGCGTCGGTGAGACATGTTGGCGTGTAACCGAGACGTACGTTGCGTTTCTTCAGCGCATTTCGGTCAACGTGGTCGGTTCCGACGGAGAATGAAGCGATGGCTTTTAGTTGCGATCCGGCTACTTCTAGGAGTTCTTCATCGATTTTATCTGTGAGCATGACTAGGATTCCGGTTGCACCTTTGGCATTTTCAAGAAGCCATGGGCGCGGACATGGCTGCATGCACATCGTCAGCAAACCGTCTTCTCGCCAGTGATAGAGACCTACCTTTTCGGATTGCCATTGCACAACTTCCAATTCTTCCTTCTTCGCATCCAAGAGTCCTTGAGCCTCGTCAATCAATTGTCGCGTTACAACGACTTTGGTCTTCGCCATGTTGGTGTTGATTCGTGCAGCTGAGGGGTCACCGCGATCGGCGTTGGGCGGGGTAGAGCTCGACTTCGTCGCAGTAGCACCGTCACGAGGAGTTGGTGAGATGTGCAGAGAAACTTGCGATAATCTTTGCATTGGAGTTGGATATGTGTGAAGCGGTCACTGTCTCAAAGAGTCCATCTTTACAACTTTGCTGCCGGGCATCATTGGCCCGAAGCATCCGCCAATGAGCGTTAGAGCAGGAGAAGCGAATCCACCCTCGGATGAGTCGTCTCCTTGCTTTCCAATGCTATCATGAACCAGGAGATGGAGAGTCGCTTATCAGACGTCGTGGAATTCAGAACGTCGAATTGGGTATATTTGAAGCAACGCCCGTCGCCGCCCACGTATCGCGCTGGAAAGTGACGCTCCCAAAGTAGCAGGTACAGCCGATGCGCGCCCCACTCTCACCATATCACCTCTTCTCCATCTCTATCTTCGTTGTCAAATGTCTTGTTCAGCGTTGTAACTGTTACTATTCATGAAACTTGACACAAAGTAATCCCTCGAAACCCCATTGAGACCAGAGACAGGAACCACCAACCCGAAGTAGCCATGGAGGGACGAGCGCGCATCCCCGTCGCGCCACCCATCGCCAATCCACTGCCTTCGTACTGGCACGACCCCAAGTCTCATCTTGCAAATGTTACTGAACCAGAAGCCACGACTTCTACACATACCTACGACTATGTAATCATCGGTTCCGGTATCTCAGGCACAATGACCGCCTATAATGTCCTCAAAACCTGGCCAGACGCGCGCGTGGTGATGTTGGAGGCACGTGAAGTCTGCTCAGGCGCCACGGGTCGCAACGGCGGACACACCAAAGCGGCAAGCTACCGCAGCTACACACATCATGTGCAAGAGCTTGGTAAAGAAGAGGCATTAAAGATCGCCAGGCTGGAATATGCCAACATTGTTGAGACGCATTGCATGGCAAAGGAATTGGGCTTGAACTGCGAGAGTGAGTTCTGTAACACGGTCGATCTTATCTACGATAAGCCTACTTTTGAAGCTGGCAATATGGCGATTCAGATGCTGCGAGTTGATGCGGAAGAGCAGGAGAAGGAAGTAGGGAATGCTGCATGGTACCAGATCCATGAAGATATTGTGGATATACAGAGCAGATTCTCTGTTGCAGCGGAAAACAGCAATCCAACGATAGGAACGAAAGAGAAGCTGGCAGGCGCCTTCGAATACGTAGCTGGTCAAATCCACGCATATCGCTTTACGACAAATTTGCTCGCGGGGTGCGTCAAGAAAGGACTGCAGCTATGTACGAACACGCCAGTCCACGACATCCGTCCCTCGGCGAAATCAGAAGGCGAGAGCAGTAACCGCTGGGATGTGTGTACCCAAGAAAGTACCATCACATCCAAAAACGTCATCATCGCAACTAACGGCTACACACCCTACATCATGAAGGAGCTTCAAGGAGCTATCGTGCCAATGCGTGGACAAATCACCGCACAACGACCAGGAACCTCGACAAAGCTGCCAGACCCATTACCGACAACATACTCGTTCATCTACCGCGATGGCTACGAGTACATGATCCCTCGGCCCTTTTCAGGAGGAGGACAGCACATTGTTATTGGTGGTGGTTTGGGCCGTCTGCCTCAGGCCGGTCCGAGCGAGTACGGGACGGTTGACGATAGTACCTTGAACCCAGAGATCTCCAAGTACCTCAACGAGAGCTTGACTGGGTATTTCGGCGCCGAGATTTGGGGTGAGACGTCTAAAGAAGAGGCATCGCGCCGCGTGGTACAGGAATGGACAGGAATTATGGGCGCGACGGCTGACGGACGACCGTTTGTGGGTGAGGTGCCGGACAAAAAGGGCTTGTGGATATCCGCGGGCTTTAATGGCCACGGTATGGTGCTATGTTTGAAGTCTGCGGAAGCGTTGGTGAAGATGATGGAAACTGGAAGTATGGATGGGAAACCAGAGTGGTTTCCTGGGAGCTTTTTGATGACACAAGAACGATTAGAGAAGTGCAGTTTTCGTGGTCGTACCGATATGCAGGTATCTGAATGATGAATCTGATAAATCATCCGTTACAAGACACTCTGATTTTACTACAACATACCCAACGATAGTGCAGATATAATGTTCTGTTGTGCGATGACACCTCAACGTAACACAACTCTCGGTAACACACTTCTTTTTCTCTTACGATCTTTCCAGTCCTCCCTTGCCTGTGCTGGTAGGTAACAGCAAATGCAGAAGACTAAACCCCATGCAGCCCCGATCAAGTGTGCCACAGCATAAGCTTTCGGCCTCGATCGCTTCACGATGTCTTTTCTTTGTGTATGTCCAGGTCGTTCCCGCCGGAACCATTGGCACTCTGGACCTAGAGTTCCTTTCAGCTCTTTCACCCATTTTTTCTCAGTATAGAACATGTCGCGTTCTCCGTCTAAGCATCCATACGTCGTGTATTCCGGCCGAACCGAGCTGTGAACTTGTCCCGGACGCCTGGTGGCTATCGTAAAGTACACTTTTGCACCCCGTTCCTCGGCTTCAATAATCCAAGGACGCATTATTTGACAGATCTTGTGTATTTTCCGTGCCACACGAGGTATGGCTCTGGCTTTGAAGATGGAGATGCCTAGCTCGGTGCGGAAGGTAATGTCGAGTCGGAAGTTTGGGGCCCAGATGCAGTCCGAAAGGGCTTTCAAATCGGATGCGAGTGTTTTGACGTTGATAGAGTCGGAGCTTCCCTTGTCCAATGATCCCTTGATAGTCAAATTAGGAAGCTTCGCATCGCGTGGGGTACGTCCCGCTCCAAACATGTCCGCGCTGAGAAATCCTGGGAGCTTGGTCGGCGTACTGATCTTGAAGTGCGGGTACTTTTCGTAGAGTATGTCAATCATTTCCGCTGCGAAAGGCGGGTAAAAGAGCGAAATCCAGGGCGGCTCCCAACGCTTAGGTGAGCTGTACTCTACCCAGGCTATTGTGTTATCCCCATAAAAGCGGCCATGGAATTCCTTGAAGTCCTTGAATTCATCGCGGAACTGCTGGACGTAGATTGTTTCTCGATAGTCTTGCGTGAGAATGCTAGATAAGACCATGTCGCGTATCTCGCGTGGCAGGCGCGTATACGCGGCTTTGGTGATGCTGTACAGCCTGCGCATTGTCAGTAGTTGTTGGGGAGGACGGCTCCATGGACACATACTCATGATCATCTTGCATCACCTGTGCATCGACTAACATATTCAAGCAGAATACGAATGTGATATGAACGACAGTAGCAGCTCAAGAGACTTCGAAAGAGAAAAGATGGTGCCGAGACACGGCACACGGCGAGAGTGGCTGGATGCCTGATCGGTGGCGCAGCAATGCAAAACCGGCAGCGATGGCCGGTTAGGTGTATGGAATGCAGGCATTGCTTTCGAGCTTATCGAGAGCGGCGACTGTCTTTGCGAATACTACTAGAGAAGTTGTTGTTGACATGGTACACAATGTCAGCTACGACAGGTGGCCTATCGAGTCTTTAAGTATACAGCTGGATGGAAGATGCAACAATTGAAGCTCGAACATGACTGAGAAGGAATCGGAGTGGTGACTTCAAAGAGGTATTCGCACACTTGGGATGAAAGTGAATGCTGGAGGTCTGTAGGGATAGCTTGGTCGAGTTGATGGTGCCCCACTTGGCGCGAAACGTCATCAGTGGCAGTGGAACATTCCAAGCCACGACTGCGCGGCATTCACGAGCCCAGAGCTTCAACAACCGCGACTGCCTCTACAATCACCAACGAACCGCAAATTACTCCCCCTATACAAAGAAATACGACCATCATGTCTGAGAAAACTAGCACGGAAAAGGTAAGCGAAAAAGAGACGGATGAGGAAGGGAGCCCCCACTAATAGCTGCAGCCTCCAGAGAGCCCGACTACGGCGCGTGAGCTCGACTTCGACGATGACAACGATGCACCGGCAGCTGCGACCCAAGACAATGCTACTTCACCCTCACCAGCCTCCAAGTCGCCCAAGCCTGGCGTGCGCTTCAACGAAGAAGCCACAGAGATCCCGCCCCAGAAGCCCCCGCGACCAGTCGACCCGCAGGTGCAGGCGCAGAACACGCTGATTGAGGCTTTCCCCGACGTCGACCCCAATGTCGTTAAGGCGGTCCTGGTGGCCAGCGGAGGCAAGGTCGAGCCTGCCTTCAATGCGCTGCTGAGTACGTGGCTGCCTATTTGGTTCATGGTTGTGAGGGGTATAGCTAACCAGCGCAGGCATGTCGGATCCCAACTTCAAAGCCGAGGAGGCTCCTCCGCCCCAACCGCCACGCCCACAACCCCGTAGTCAGCTCGAGCAGGACGAGATATATGCGCGACAACTGGCTCAGCACTACCAAAGTCAAGGTGGTCCAGAGGGCCAGGGCGGTTACGGATCGCGTGGCCAGGGGCAGCGACAACGGCCTGGTGAGCCCGAGCGGGAGCACAGCTTCTTCGATGGTACGATCATGCGACGTCAATATATGTGTAGCTACTAACACTCACGCAGACGACCTCCCCGAGATTCGCAAGAACATCGAGCAGGGCTTCGAGGAAACAAAGCAAACTGTCACAAAGTGGATCAGCAACTTCACCAAGAAGCTCGACAGCGGCGAGATGGAAGAGTACGACAGATACGGCAACGTCCAGTACACGGGAAGGCAACCACCACCACAGCAGAGGCAGAACTTCGGCCCATCGCAGTCAGACCAGATGCATGGCATTCGCAAGTCAGCGGAACAGCGACGGTCGGCAGACCACAACCGCTACGACGCTGACAACCGAGTCATTGGCGACGACTTTGCAAAGCTCGAGTTGAGAGACAACGAGGGTATGCTGGAAGCACCACGCACGTGCAATAACTGCTAACAACTCATAGGCCCTGGCCCACGATCGTCAAGTCGCCCGCACGCCAACCCCGACCTCTTCAAGCCCACGCCCGTATCTCCGCCCCAGAGCGGACCCGTTGACGAAGTCGATGCCCTGTACCGTAACCCATCGCCGAACAACCAAGGCAGCCAGGGTAAATCGAGCGGCAAGAAATGGCAGCCTCTCACCTCAGTCGCACCAAACCCAGAGCCCGATGACCACGACCCCTTT